TACAGGCACCAAGGTGGAAGCATGAAGTGAACACATGCCAAAAAGTCAGGTTTTCATAAACCCGTCTTGAAAAAGTGCACCGTGTTTTTAGTAAAAATGCATATCTACCAAATCTCCACTGACCATGGGCCACTTGCATATGGAAAGCTGCATCAATCTGCAGCAACAACGCTGACATTTTTGCCTTCTCCTTCCACCCACCTCCCCAATTTATTTTTTTTCTTCCTTCCTTGGGAGACATACAGCGCCACTGCATTAGAACGTACAAGAAATGAAAACAGTGAGTACGACTGATATAGATCCATTGACTTTTTATTACAAATGTACTTGATCACTTGGCTTCAAAAAAGTTTAAATCAACCCCTATTTTCTGTACGCCAGTACAAAGTAAAATCTATTTTACAAATTAAATACCTAAAAATTTGACAAAAATATTAAAGTTTGATGGAAAAAACAGTTATAAAAATCTTAAATCCCCTTTTAAGAAGAGATAACATCCCCTCCCAACCCCCACAGTCCTGTTATACAATATTAATAGTCATTTTTTTAGAATAGGTAGGTATGTTATATCTTGCTGTTAGCATACACGTCACTCTAATAGCTTTATCTGTATATACTCCAGTTAGTGCATGAATGCCATCTGATTGAATATAATCAACTATCTTTAACTGATCCCTAATTTACATTTCATAGCTTGCATAGTTTGAAGGGACAAAGGTTATACTACAGCTAATCATAAAAAAAGGTGGTTACAGTGCTATTTTTAAAGGCAACAAAGTAATTGCTCCCCCCCCCCCCCCCAAAAAAAAAAAAGTTATTGGTTGGCTCTGAGCAGGGGTTAAAATCACTGGCAGCTTTCCACCTCGCTCAAGAGGATTGTCCCTGCCTCACGCCCGCTGCTCCAACGGGGCAGCCCCTCTGCTCTCTAAACAGACAAGTCCCAGGCTGTGAACGGCTCCTCGGCGAGTGCTACACCCAGTGCATTTCAACCCCTGCGAGGGATATGCAAGAAAGTGACACTGTCAAGTTTTGGGGGGTTTTCTGTTTTTTTTGTTTTTTTTCTTTTTTTTTTGTTGTTGTTGTTGTTGTTGATTAGTTGGTTTCCTTTTTTTTTTTTTTTTTTTTAAAATCGAATTTTCCAAAAAAGCTCTCTACCGCATACAGGCATGCCTCGCTGGAAGCTCCCCGTCCTGTGCGCACCCCGCCGCCGGGTCGCTGACCGCCAGCGTGGCCAAGCCCTGACCCTCGCCACGGGCCAGAGCTCTGGCCAGGACGGGCCCGGCCAGTCCCCTCCTGCTGCCAGGCAGCCGGAGGGCGGCTCTTGCGGCAGCATCACTAGTGGGACCACAAAGAAGAGGCAGGAATCAACAGTGGCTGGTTCCGTTTTTTTTTGGTTTTTTTTTGTTTTTTTTTTTTTTTTTTTATTTAACTTCTCAGAGACAGAGCAATTTCACTTTTTTTTTTTTTCTTGACCAAAAAAGAAGAAAAAAAAGAAAAAAAAAACAAAACAAAAACCAGAACATTGAATTTGGAGGACATTTCTCCTTTAGCATAAAACCACTTACAGAGTGGTTGTATTTCAATGGTAAATTACTTGACAGTGTCCCTTTAACTTAAGAATAAAATAATGTCAGTATTGCAATGAATTTCAAGTTTTCTTGCACTTAGTCATTATAAAGTAGTTTTTATCATGCTCTTGGACCTATTCTACAAGACATTTAAAAGCGTATCATCAAGGAAAATATAAGGCATACTTGTCAGGAATTAGATATCTTGGCACATTTGAGCATACTGTCTTTTTTTAAAGCAACACATATGGTCAAATATACCTTTCTTCTTCTAACATTAAACAGGGTTTTCTGTACTTTGTTTTAAATACTGAGATATTAGAGCCTTGGTAAAGTACCGAGCACCTCCAGGGGGAAAAAAAAAAAAAAAAAAAAAAAAAGACAAAAAAAATAAATCAAAACAAGAACCAAACCGGGAGCAAAATTCCATGAACCTTTACAGTCATTTTAGTCTTTCATTATCATCATTCATCAAGTCCTAGAACATATATAACATCTGTTAAAAGAATAAGAAACCAAAAAACCAAAAGACCAAAAAACCAAAACCCAACGAAACACGCAGCAGAAACCCAAAACAAGACACAACCGGACCGCAAGTTCTCAGACACTGTTCCCAGAGCTGCCGGCGGGCTGTCGGGGCCCGGGCTGGGCGGCACCGCGCGGCCCGTGCGCGGCCCGAGTCTGCGGCACGGCGGGGCGCGGGGAGCCGCCCGGCCCCACGGCCACGCTCCCGGGGGGACACGGCCGCGGGGACACGGCCACGGAACACCCCCCCCCCCCCCCCCAGCTCCTCAGTGCCGGGAACCCGCTGGCACTGCGAGCGCCGGACCACGTCCATCGGCAGCTCGACAACTTTGGGGAGGGGAGTGAACAGCAGGACCAAGACAATCAATCAAGTAGCAAAACCAAAGCAATTAATTTCCTAACTACATCTAGCAGCATGGAGAATGCAGTCCCGCACACATCACAGTTGAAGTACAATAATTGATGGAACTGTCCATCCAGACCCTCCGATTCAAAAGCAGGTTATCAGACAAATGTTTACATACAATTGAGAACCATTTCAAATGTCACATTACGCACTCCAAAAGCTTATAATTACTACTGGGAAATAGGAAAGTGCACACATTAAAGCAATTTTAAACATTTCCAGTGATTGTTTAAAAGAAACAGAAACATCTCACTGCTGGCATCTCATATTTAACTTTCTGTGAACACTAACAGCAAACGCATGGTACAATGGAAACAGCTTGACACTTACAGTACATCTCAAAAAAAAAAAAAAAAAAAAAAAAAAGGAAAAAAGAAAAAGGGAATTATAATTTCCAAAGGGAATAAAAAGACAGCAGGAAATACAGGAAATAAAATTCTTTAAAACAAGTCTTTTTTTTTTTTTTTTTTTTTTTTTTTTCCCCACCCTTCCGAAACTCCATCCTTGACCATCAGTGAAGAAGCACAGGCAACTCCTGCTCATACAGGTGGTGCCTTCTACACACAGCAGCTAGGTCTACCAGACAGCTAACTTTGCCAAGAGCATTAAGAAAAATGATTGCAACCCAAAAAAACTTCTGAGTGGAACAAGATCCTAGTTTCTCTGAAACACTGTCTACTGCATTCCGGCCAAAAAAAAAAAAAAAAAAAAAAAAAAAAAGAAAAGAAAGGAAAAAAAAAAAAAGAAGTTTTGTTTTCACTGTTTAAGGCATCTTTTTTTTTTTTAATGTTTTCTCTTCATTCATAATGATGATAGTCATGCAGCAGTTTAATGATAAAAATATATTAATATTTTACTATACAGCAGCAAGAAGTTAGTCAATTAAAAGCACACCAACTTTTTTAAAAGAAAAAAAAAAAACAAAACAAAACCAAAAAAAAAAAAACCAACCTGTAAAAGTCTATTATTATTCTTATTATTATTACAAACAGTTTCAATTTGAGAACACACCTGGCCAGATTAGTGTTTTGACAAATCTGCGTTTCCCTACCCTGGGCTGTGACCAGAGCCCGCGCGCACGCACACCGGCGCGGCGGCCGGGGCAGGGAGGGCAGGGCACGGCCAGGCTCGCCAGGTATGTAGCCAGTAATAACTAGCACCACAGCTACATGGAAATCCGTTACAGAGACACACACCGGCTTGGCTTTCACTTTTAAACGCAACTCCGAACCCCCACGGCTCAGTCGGATTACTCTGCAATTGCGCTGCACTGATTTCTAAGGGGCCCGCAGGCGTTAGCGGCCCCGGCCAGGATCGCAGCGCAGGCTCGGGCCCCTCAGGAGTTCAGGAGATAGTGCTAGCGCCAGCGGCGACACGGAAAGACTCGCTACCTGCTGTCCAAACCCAGGCTGACTGGAAACCGCTGCACACCAGGTTAAGCACACAGAATTAAAAAAAAATATATTATGAACAATACAAGTACATCTCATATACACAATAATGACAATATGCCTACTCAGTTGTAAACCAAACAGGTGCAGAAAAAAAAATATTACGGGAGGAAATTCTTTACTTTTCTTTTTTTTCTCTCTCTCTCTTTTTTTTTTTTTTTTCCTTTTCCTCTTTTTTTTTTTTTTTTTTTTTTACTATTTGAATAACTTTGGTTCAAACGTAAAAATCACAAGTTAGCAAATTTCATTTAAATGCCTTTTTTAATAATTTTTCTTCATGTTCACAGAAGTTTCACTGACCATTTTTATATGTTTAAGGTCCAGATGCAATGCATATTGTATAAAAGAGAGCACTTATTGTTTACCTTGCATGAATTAAACCTACGTACCTTTTAACTCTACAAACTTCTGCATAACATTTAGACAAAGCTCAGACACACAGCATGCCTAGCCCTCATATATATATACACATCTCTAATCACAGGTATATAGGGTGTCAAATATACTATAGTAACCTCCATGTAAGGTTTGAAATTTGGTAACAAAATGAGAAGAAAAAACTAAAAATATTATTTTACGTGTTCTAAAATATCTCTTTTTTTTTTGTGCTAAAGTCAAATGTTAGCTCAACATGAAAAGGACTTTTTTTTTTTTATATAATTCAGCAATATTATAATCTTGACCATTTTTGCAAACACTTTTAATAATAATAGCTTAAACGTGTACAAAAGTTCTCGGTTAATTAGGGAAATAAACACTCAGTTCTTTATATTTTTAATCAAGTAGGAAACACAGTTCATATATAATGTTATTACTTTTTTTGACTTTTTTTTTTTTTGTGTGGTTTGTTTTGTATTTTTTTTTTTTTTTTTTTTGTTTTTGTTTTAGCAGCTGCTTACTGTTTGATACGGTGGGTAAAGTGGAGGGACATCCAGCGATGGGTGGCGGGTCGGAGGCGCTGCTGCCGGGCGGCGGGGGGCGCCGGGCGGGCGGCGCTGCCGGGGGGGCCGCCGGGCAGAGGGGGGGGGGGGGGGGGGGGGGGGGGGCGCTCCTCGCCGCCGCCGCCGCCGCCGCCCCCCCGCCCCGCCGCCCGCCCGCCCGCCCTCCCGCCAGCGGCGGGGCCAGTCCGCGTCCCGGGGGGCGGGCGGTCAGTCCTCCTCGGGCTCCTCGGCCTGCAGCAGGGCGCCGGGCGGCCCGGCGGCGGCGGCCTCGGCCTCGGGGGGCGGCTCGGCCCCGGCGCCCGCGGCGGGGGCGGCGGCGGCGGCGGCGCGCTTGTCCCGCTGCTTCTCCTGGATCTTCTTCATCTCGTCCGAGTACTTGCAGAAGGTGTGGCCGAACTTGGCCCAGACCTTGTAGGGGACGGTGATGGAGTTGCGGTAGGTGGGCTTGACCTCGCTCACCCGCATGAAGACGCCGTACTTGTTGGAGCCCACGTCGAAGAAGAAGCGCTTGTTGTCCACAGTCAAGGAGGTGCCCTCGGGCAGCTCGGCCGGCTCCTCCTCCACCCCGTAGTCATCGATGAGCTTGGCCAGCGCGTCGCGGAACTCGATGAGGCCCTGGGCCGGCAGGGCGATGGTTTGGCCCTGCGTGGAGCCCAGCCCCGGGCCGCGGTTGACGGTCTGGCGGACGCGGAGGAAGCGCCCGCGCTGGTTCTCCTTCAGATCCATGTAGTACTTGCGGTTCTCCCGCACCAGGAACTCGCTCTTGAGCGCCCGCCGGGGCTCGTCGGCCGCCTGCGCCAGCTCGGGGGGCTGGCTGGGCCCCAGCTGGGCGTAGTGCTCGATGAAGTCGCCCAGGTAGTCGCGGAACTCGACGGCCACCGACATGGAGAGGGTCAGGCGGCTCTTGTTGCCGCCCGCCCCCACCTCGGCGATCTTGAGGAACCGGCCCTTGGCGTTCTGCTTCACGTCCAGGTAGAAGCGCTTGTTCTGGATGTCCACCCGCTTGGAGGCCAGCTCCTGCGTCTCGTGCTGCAGGCCGCCGCCCGGGCCGCCGCCGCCGCCGCCGCCGCCCGAGCCCGGCCCCCCGGCGCCCGCCGCGCCCCCGCCGCCGCCGCCGCCCTGCTCGCTGCCGCTGTCTCTGTCCGCCATGATGCCGCCGCCCGCCGCCGCCGCCGCCGCCGCCGCTCGGCCTCGGCCGCCGCCGCCGCCGCCGCTCCTCGCCCGGCGCGCCCCCCCCGCGCCGCCGCCCAGCGCCGCCTCCGCCGCCGCCGCCGCCGCCTCCTCCTCCTCCTCGGCCGCCCCCGGCCGCCGCCCGCCGCCGCTCCGCCCGCCGCCGCCGCCGCCGCTGCTGCAACAGCCCCCGCGGCCACCAGCCGGCCGCTCTCGCGAGATCTGCGGGAGCGAGGAGAGGGCGCGGGAAGGCGGCAGAGAGCGGCCCCCGCCGCCGGCCGCCCCGCCGCGCCGGGCAGCAGCGCCGCGCACTGCCAGCCGCCGCCGGGCCGGCCCGGACCCCCCGCCTCCGCCCCAGCCCCGGGGGTGGGCACCGGGGTCCCTCCCCGCGCGGGGTTGGCGGCACCTCGGAGCGGCGGCGGGCCGCTCGGGAAGGAGCCTGCCGGGAGGCCGCCGCACGGCCGGCCGGGGGGGAGCGCGGCCCCGGCGGGTCGCGGCCCGAACCACCCCTCCCCGGTCCCGCCGCCGGGACGAGGCTCGGCGGCGCCGGCGGGGCTCCCCGGGCGGGCTGTGGGGGGTGTATCCTCCGGGGCTGCCGCGGCTGAAATTAGGTGGGACATCAGTGGCGCGGCCGAGGCCCCGCAGCCGGGAGCGGAGCGGGGACCGGGACCGGAGTGGAAGGGGCGGCCGGCAGCGGGCAGAGCGGTGGGCAGGCTGCCCTCCGCACAGCCCCTCGCAGGTGGCCAGTTTGCGCTTTATTCAGCTGCTTCTTCCCGGGGGGGGTGGGGGGAGAGCCCTTCTCTTCCAGTCCTCGTGGATCCCAAACCCCGACTGCCAAGCCAGCGCCAGCGCCAGCTCCAGGCAGGATTCTTCCTCCCAGTGCTGCGGGCCGGGAAGCAAACCGGCAGGCTGCTTTTGGCGAAAAGTCCTTTCCCTGCCTGCTGTCTCCAGGACAGCAAGTGCTGACTTGTGTGGAGGGCATCCATCTACCTCAAGCGTCCCCCAAAAAACCTGCAAGTTGTTACACAAAGCAGTCATGCTGTGGGGCAGCTTTTGTGGTGGCCTCTGTGCTGGAGGAAATAATATGTGTGTTCACTGAGGAGAAAGAGAGTAAATTGCAAAGACACCTGCGCGCCTTAGATGTTGCTTAGGTATCACGGGAGCAACCCCCAGTCTGCCCCATCATGATCAAAGCCTTGGCTATTGCCGACACTGTGGGTAATAACAAAAAAAAAAAAAAGTAGAAAAAACCCCAGTTTCCTTTTAATACAGAAGCGATCTTTTGGAGCTGCAGTGAGCTGCAGCTTGCAAACTGTCATGTCAGCTTGCAGAAGTGCCCTGAGCGCCAGGGATGTGCGGTGCTATGTGGATGATCCATTTGATTTTCAGCCTGCCTGAAAGCGAGACCTCTCCCGGTGGGTGCCCGGCATGAGAACTGCGTGGCCGGGCTGGCATGGCCACGCTGCTCCCCTGTGGCAGGCTGAGGGCGGCTGCTCTGACAGTCCCTCTCTCTCAATTCGCTCTTTTGTCCTGAAGATAAATGACATTAAGCAACCTTAACTGAGGCCTGATTGGGTTGCCTCTTGCTAATGCCAGCAGGTATTCTCATGGAGTTTAAACCACTGCTTTATTCATGCGCTGGAGCTGGGAAATAGGTAAGTGCTGAGGAAATGTATTTGGTGAAAACCTGGTGCCCAGGAAGGGAAGCACGTGGCTGATCTGTCTTTGACTGCCATGAGGTGAGAATTGCCTGTGGTGATGGTGCTGGTCAAGTGCAGCCAGCAGCAGAGGTTATTTTTCCTCCCCAGTACAGGCCAGCGTTACTGCTTTCCGAGTGGATGCACTCCAGGTGGATACTGGTGATCCTGGAAACAGACCTGTCAATGTTTCTCCTTTGGTGGGATGGTGTTGGGGGGGCCCTGCTTGCCCAACATCGTTCTGTGTTGCTAGTCACAGCAGCTACCCAATACTCTGGGTACGAGTCTGAATTCCGCTTGAATACAGGCATTTGCTTATTTAACTAAACAGAACAAAGCGAAAAATGCGTTTTTTCTTCCTGTAGGCAATCTTTTTCAATACCAGCTCTACCGTAGTGGCCCCTTCCAGGCATCTGGGTGTGGCTGTGCCGCAGGGGCCTGCATCAGTCTGCCCAGTGCTAAACCAAGATAACATGGCCAAGGCAAGCCTGGGATGACTGCTTGAGTGAGGCAAGATGCAAAACAAAGGCGATGGGCAAACGCAGGAGCCAGGGGAATCTCTTCCTACCTCATCCAGGTGCTGATGACTCGACAGGGATCTTGCAGGGACCTCCTGGGTCACATGCTGCCCTCCCTTGCTGTTGCAGCTATATCAATATGTCCCACATGTTTATCAGACTTCACTTTGGGCTTCTTCTGTGAGTTCTGCTGAGACCCATCCCAGACCTCTTTGCTATGAAAATCAGAAATCTTTTCATCCCCAGCCTGAAAATATCAAGGGCTTCTTTACAGCTCCACAGCTTTCGGCTTGGAGCTGTCACAAGTTTTTCTCATGTTTTCTCCCCTTCCACGTGTCTCTCAGTAGCAATTATATCCCCTTCAGCCCCTGTTCTGGTAGTCTAAATAAGACCAACTTTTGGTAGTTTCCTCTCATAAGTCCTCCTTTCTTTTACTGTTGTAGTCGTCCTTTATCGTACCAGTTTCAGTTCCTCTGCAAGACAGGGAGAGAAGGTTTTCAGTCATGGCTGGGGTTTTAGGCTTAAGATCAATGAGCCTTTTGTTTCAAAACCCAATTCAGAGGGCTTTTAAGAACATATCTAATCATTACAGCGAGCATCTCAAAGTTTGGAGCCAAAGCCTGTTATTCAGCTACAAAACAACAACTCTGCTGACTCCAAGAACTTGTACGAACATTTTTAACCACAGGAGGGAATCTAAGAGCCATTCAAACAACAGATAAGATTAGTAATGAAAGTGGCTGGGATGCAACTGTTATTGTGCAAGTCAAAGAAAAGGCTGTCACACACAGAGGATGTTGCCAAGAAAGATGCATTTGAGTCGCCGAGCCATTCTTCTCCCATCCCCTGTCCAACTTCTCCTGCAGTCTTCCCAGATCTATTCAGGCTTAGTTGGGCAATCTGCTGGATTATGAGGTGACTGAGTTTAGGCTTGCCACTGAACACAGCTGTTTGCCAGGATGTGTCAGATCTTTGCTTGGTCCAGTCCTTGTTCAATGCTTCCACCATGGAAAAGGGAGCATGTTCTGGTTCAGAGTATTTCCTGAGCTGTGATGGGGCTTGGAGCAATAAAGCAATCAAATCAAAGTAGCCATTACCATCTTTTGGAGCCAGAGCAATTAGAAGACAGTTACAGCTGCATGGGGACGTCTGAAGTTGTGCAAAGGCTTAGACCAGTCCCTGAGCTGGAGCATGTAACAGGATGGTGAAAGCTTCCTTTGCTTTCCATCTGGGTCCTCTTCAGAGCGTGCCTTTGGAGAGAGGAGTTCAGCGTGGCTTGTGCACTGTCTGCAAGGCATTGGTTGCCCCGTGAACAAGCCCCATCGTGTGCAGCGAACAAGAAACTAGCACACTGCATATGTAAGTCATTTACGAAGACGGGAACGATGAACTGTGCACACAATAGAGTTGCTATTAGGTCTGTCAATCCTAATTAAAAAAATAGTTCTCAATGAAAATTATTTATAAAAAGACATCATAGTGACCCCAAATCAAATTATTTGTGAATGGTTTTTAGTCTCCCAGATCTGTTAAAACTCCTGTGGTAGTCACTGGACATCATCCAAACTACATGCTGAATGAATAACATGTCTGCCAAATTTCTTTTTTTTTTTTTTTTCACCCTCACCAAGTTTGGCACAGGACAGTTAAAGTAATTTTTCTAAATATCTTTCAGAACATCAAGCAACTGTAAAATAACAATGGGAAAGCTTGGCCGCGGTTAACTACAGCCTTCCAGTTGTAACCGCTTCTCTCAAAAAAAGTCACTCCAGTTCCTCTGGTGATCTGTTTTGGGTGAGCACTGGAGGCAAGGTTTCCCCCACAGGGATGCTGGAGGGTCACTGCCCAAGGGGTCACCCTGCCAGAGAGCCTGGCTTCCAGGTGTTCAGGAGTGGGGAACAGCTAGGTCCAGCATGACCCTGGGTACAGGGTTTGTGTCTTTCTGGCCACCTGCTAGAGACTGACACTCCGAGGACCCACCGACCATTCCTTGTTCACAGCTGCAGTTCCCATAGTGAGCTGTAAAGACACCTCTTTTGCTTGCTCTTCAAAAAAAAAAAAAATAAAAGAAGTGGGTAGGGGAAGGGAATCAGTGACTGCACAATGGCAGAACAAGTTCTTGCTTCTCGTGTCTGCAAAGATAAAGTGCTAATTCTTCTAAGCACCGCGTGAAGTCCCATCCAAGTGAATTAAGTTTGGGATTGTTTTCATGATGGCTTGTTCCAATTATGCAGCATGCTTTCTCTTTTTCCTTGACTGGCCTGCAAATCTCCCCACTACCCTTTTTTTCTCATGATGAGAAAATGCTTCCCCCTCATTGGTTTTCTCTTTCTGACCATGGAGGACTCTGTGGTGTCAGCACCTGCAAAGAGGGAGGATCCTTGCCAGATCTTGGTTCCCAGTGAAGTTAGAGGGAAGCATGGTTCTCCAGCTCCCCACATAATCCAGTAAATGCTGGCTGCTCTTCTGTGGAAAAGTAGCAACAAATGGCCACCCAATGCTAATCTTGCTGGGTTTCAGTGACAGCAATTTATAAAACCAGGGCCCTCTGTTCCTTGCCTCCCAAGGAGGAGTAAGGAGTAGAGCCCAGCATCATGCACAGTAGATAGGAAAGGTTATGCAACCCCTAAATGTGACTGTTCCCTGCTCCAACGCCAGAAGACCTATCCCTGGATGGACTGGGGCAACACTCACCCTGCTTTACAACAGCCTGCCTCCCAGTATCTAGCTGGCTTGTTTGCCTCTTAGTCAAAGCAGTGTGTGCCTGGCTGGGCCTGCTGCTTCCCTCTTCCCATGCCCACAGCGTTAGCTGGGAAGGGGGTCAATCCCCAGGGGTGCCCAGGAGTATGGGCATAGCTGGCTCAGTGGGACAGCTGTCTGGCTCCTGGTGCACCAGCTATCTCATCCTTTTATTAGGATGAAAGCACACCTGTGCCTTTTGCAGCTCAGTTCCTGTTGTTGTCACGCTGCCTTGCTGTATCTGGATGGTCCTGGGGAGCTGTTCCTACAGCCATGACTCCAGGTCCTTGACTGGTACAGCAGGCCAACTGCCTGTTGACTCTCAGGTCTTCCTCTTCTTTCTGGGCTTGTGGACGTGCTGGGGTTTGTAGGCTGTGAATCCATTCCCTCAAGGCACATTTTTTGGAAAGTGTGTTTTAGAAAGCACTGGCAGGCATCCTCTGCAGCATTTCTGGGTTTTACAGCCCTGCCTAATAGAAATTCACCCTGCTCCTGTTCCAGAATACCTGACTTATCCTGCCATTAATTTACAGCCTCCAAAAGCTGCTGGATCACGCCAGGTGCGGTCACTAACACGTTAAGGAGCAGTCCAGCCATTGAAGGTTCCCAAAGAACAGGGTGGGAGAAGGCAATGCTTTCCACACCATATGGAGAGGAGCGTTTGCTCTAGAGACTTCCAGGTATGAGTGTACCTCAGTCCAGACGAACTACTCCAAAGCATCCTCCAGGCTGGAGGAGCTTTCTGGCCTTTTGTAACATCTGGTTTTGAGGTTAAGACTCCAGCCCCAATCCGATGCAGCTTCTTGCAGGCTGGTGATTCTTTCCCACTACTTTGAACCCCCTTTCCTTAAAAAGCACATGAGGATGTTGGCAATTCCAAAATAATAGACTAGATCTTTTACAATCCTTTGAAATGTCCTTTGTCTGTTCCTGGGTCCAAATAGCCTTCTGCAGCGTTCAGACAACCTCTGAGAGCTGTGAAAACTCATCATCTCACCCATTGTTTCTCACCATTTTAATCTCAGGATGGTAGGGAGATGCCAGCCCAAAGCTACTCATCTTGTGGGGTTTCTTTCCTCCAGTTTTTCTGTCTGCAGTGTTGTGTCAGCAGGAGCACAGAGCATTAACTTGACACGTGTGGCAGAAGTTTCCTCTAGTCAGTGCATGTCCCCAAGCCCTTGCTCTGCTGCTGGTCTAGGGCAGCGAGGGATGCCAAGGTGACACAATTTATTTTGTGAAAACAGCTCGTGGTTGAGCTTGTCTTCCAGCCTCCTGCCTGTGCAAGTGAAGTTTGCCATGTGGAGATCTCTCCCTGGCTGGACCATGGTCTGGTGCTGGTAAAACTATTTGATTAGGTTCTTTATTGCTGAGTTTGTTGGATGCTTTGAGATAAATTGTTGAGCCTGGTGGATGCTTTGAGACAACTGGCACTGGTGGACTGACATTGCTCTGCCACGGCTCCTGGTCAGAGCTGCCATGGTTCATTGTGGCTGGGGAGGTGTGAGGAAGGCATCTTTGTGCCCCATGGCTTATTGCAGTCAAGCTCCCCGCGGGGCTACCTAATCCACCAGGAACACTAAAATACAGTCAGATTTGTCCTGTTGGCCCTCTGTGGCTCTCTAATGAATGCTACAGGCACCATCACTGCAGTGACTTTGTGGCTTCCTTGCTAGCACTTTCCAGGCCCTACCACTTTGTCCCAAGTGGTGGGATGTTTTCCAATTCAGGAGTCAGTCTTCCTTGTGAAGACTGCAGTCTCCACACACTGCTTCCCATCACCCCGCCGAGAAACTGCCTTTCCCAGCTCCTAGCCAGCAGGTTTCCAATGCAATGCCACACTTCAGCCAGTAAAGAAGCAGGTATTAGAGCCCTTGGGGGTCCAAAGCTGAGGTAGGGCTGCTTCCTCATTTCCATCCCTCCTCACTTTTCAAAGATGTACTTGTATGCACAGCAATGTAAAAGAAAGCTGTCAATAAAGACCATGCTCTGGGGCCTCAACGGTGGTGGTATTGTCCAGATCACGGTGATAGAAACATACCTTCTCAGCAGCCCATTTATCCCACACCCAACGTCTGTCTTCTCAAAGTAGCTGCCAAAATGGTCCCTTAGGGAAACTGGGGTTTATTAGGGTACTGCAGGAGGCAGAGCTGGCCAGTAACCCTGTCTGCCCGGACCTCCTCAAATGCCTTAGTGCACTCAGCTCTGTTCACAGGGAGCAAGGTTGCTCATGGGGCTGGGGTGAAGTGGGGGTTGTGGAGTTGTCTTAACTGATGATTTCCAACTTGGGCCAAAGAAATCCCAAACATCTGTGAGGAAGAGAAAGAAGATTTAGAACAAATTGCAGTTCTGAAATGAGATTTAGAGCAAATCACCATTTTCCAGTTGTCAAGAAAAGGTTGACTTGACATTTTTTTTTTCCCGAAAGATAAGTTCTTTTCCTAAGTTCAGCCAGAAGTGATGTTTCACAACTGTACAGGAGCATTGGGATCCACAGCATCATAACCCTCCATGCAGAGGCCATGCAAATGATGCTGTGAGACAGGATTCCAGCCCTAAAGGCTTTCTTTTTCCTTTTAAAACTCTGACTTTTAATACATCTTTTTCTTTTTGGAGTAGCTAGTGGCTTTGGGATATCCACTGGGGTTTGCCTGGCTTTCAGAGTACATGCTGTGGTGTCAAACTCAGGCCTTAAAATGGACTCCTTTCCTTTCCCAGTATCCAGAGGCTCTTTGGTGAACTTCAGAGGTTGTGGTTCCTCCCAAGCAAGCACCAGCAAGCATCTGAAGTATCAGATGAGCCTGGACATTTTGTGGTGTGCTGCGTTGAGAGCTGTTACGATGGTGAGCTGGGAGCCCAACTCTTTGTGCCGGAGAACATAGAGGGATGGGTTCTCCATTGCCTTGGAGGAGATGTCATAGCTTTGGGGATGCAGGGTAGGACACTGCGTGAAACAAAAGGCAATACACCACAAGGACTTAAAGGCCTCCCCACCCTCCCCCCCCCAAAAAAATGCAAGGAATCATCAGCATAACCTTTCATCCAGATACCACGAATCAGATAACTGGGACTAAAAATATTTAATCCCTCACAGAGAGAATGAAATCATTGCTTAGCATAAAACACGTTGATTTTCAGAATGTATTGACATGGCAGCAAGTGCCTGGATCTTGAGATAGGATGCTAACCTGACTGTTCCCACATGGTGAGTCCTCAGCTCTCAGGTGGGCAGGCTGCTGCCAGCATGGCACAGTACCAACTCCCCATCCTCTGTGGAATTTTGTTTACATGGCTCTGAAAGGAAAAATTCACAAATACAACAAATGCTCCGAACAACAAAGAGCAGACTCCAACTGTGCAGGTCAACCCCTGCAGAACAGACAAGTGCTTAGATTCATTACTGGATTGCAAGTAGTTGATGCTGTTGAGTTTAAATGTCCCTATGGTGGAACCCCTTGCTGCATTCAGACAATTGTCATCTCCAACATGGGTGCTGTGACAAGGAAGAGTCAGACACGAGGTAGAGAGAAGTCCTCTGTTCCTTGTCTGCAAGTGACCTCCCATGGGCAGCATTAAGAAAAGTTATATTGTAGCAGGGAAATGGTGAAATGGTTTAGAGTATCTAATTTTATTTATTAATTATTTATTGTTTGCCTTCATCTCTTTTAGAGCTGCTTTGGGGATGTTTTCTGAAGCATCTGGGAGCCCTGGGAGCTGGTGGGATTCCTTCCTGTCCTGCTGAGACCTGGCTTGGGTTTGAAAACCTGTGATGCCTGCTCTTTGTGGCATAGCTGGAGACTACCAGCTCAGGGATGTTGTCCCATAACTCATCTCAGTGTCTTGGAATTTTGCTGAAAGGGTGTTTAATTTAAAACCTCTTGGGCCATAAGCCAGACCCTTACTATGGAGGCAGCATCTCCTTACTCTTCGCTGCAAGATGCCACAGGTAAAACTCTACAAAGGTACTGGGTTTCTTGATACTGTGGTTTCTCACAGTGCAAAAGAGGCTACAGGGTCCATGTTGGCATAGAGTCAGCAAGGAAATAGCTTCACTTTTATGAAACAATTTCCTGGAGGGGGACAGAGTAAGAGAGGGTGGCGTTTGCTGGGCTGACTCTTTGTGTAAGAAGAAGGGACATTTTTGTGCCCTGGTCCTAGAGGGGTGATGGCAGCTGTCTGCCCTGGCAGCTCCCTTGGCACCTCAGGTGTGTTTGGATCAGATGTGGGCTCCAAGGATGTCTGCTGGTTGTATGCTTTAAATCAGCATGTCCCAGCTAGGGCTGTGCAAGCCCTGCAGTGGATGGGACAATGAGAACAGTTAACTGAATCAGGCCAGGAAGAGGAGAAAACCACAGGAAATCCATGGCTCTCCTAAATCCTGCTTCTGGGGAGATCAGGAATCACCTGGAGCCAATGAAGAATGCAGCCGGCTCAGTGAGAAGTCCTTCTCCTTCCCCGGGGACCATTAGGTGGTTTCAACCTCTCACTGTGCGTCTAAGTAGAGGGGCTGGTTTGTTTTTATGTCTTACAACTGAGGATATTGCTTATGGGAATATTTTGGGAACTCGTTAAAAAGAAAATTGCAGACCATCCCCAGCATGATTGAGATAAAGTGGTGTGTAAGTGTGCAGGAAACGTGCACATTTTCTCAGTGATTATATTCAATTAATTGTTTTACAGCTTCTCAGCAAATGCCATGTGGTACAGGTGGGAAGATGCAATGCCGTGATCCTGCAAGGTTTGGATGGAGCGGGTAAGAGACTGCAGTGTGTGGAACACTCGGTTTGTGTTAGAGAGGAAAACTGTTTACAAAACAGAAGCGTTAGCAAACCAGCTTCGCCAGAGGGTTGTGGGATAGTCTGCAGCCAGTAGAGCAGCTGCAGCCCCTGTTCTGCCAAAACCAGTAATGGGGTCTGGAAAGGGAAGGGGCTCCAGCACATGCGAGGGAGACCTTGTTCTGCACCAGGGGGTGAGGTGGGAGAGAGGGTTATTTCTGCATCTCAGTAAGAAAGGCCTGACAACACATGGCTTAACAAAATAGCTGCTTTAATAAGATAGAATAAAAAGGATATGCAATAGCTTGAAGGGCCAAAATGGAGGAACTTCTCACTAGGGAAGGGATATGTATAGCACCATGGGAAAATCCATCCTGGGTCCATCTGATGTTGCACTAACACAGGGTGCCCCTCATCTGAAGGTGCATAAGATTTACTCACTTTTGATATTTCTCTTCCTACTCTGCTTTGTTAAAACAGCTATTTTATCAAGCCATTTGCTGTCAGGACTTTCTCACTGAGATGTGAGAGACCTCTGCACTGCCTCTCCCCCCCGTCCAGCCCAGTCATGCCTTGGGAAGAAGCAAGGAGCGTCCTCAAGGAAAGGGGTGTGCGAGAGGCTTGGCAGGGGGCTTGTGAAGGACTGCTCTCCCCAAATCAGGGCCATGGCTCTGCGGGCTCTGGCCCCTGCCAGCTCTCCAGCCTTCCCCAGCCTGGGAAGATGGGAAGGATGTGTGGGAGCCGTGCCCTGAAGGGGCTGTGGGAGCCTCACTCAGGTCCTCACCGCTTCCCTGCATGAAGAAGCCGTGATTCCAGCAGGGGGAACAGGTAGGGGTTAAGAGCTGTGTGTTGTGTCACAGGCAGCCAGCATTTCCCCCCTCAGTTAGGGGTTGAGAAATAGACTTGCCAGCCTGGTTAGAGCTCATATATCCCAGAGGCAGAGGGTCCTAGAGGGGGCAGTGGAATGGGAGCCCTAGGATGCTCCTGGCCAGTGCCTGCTGGAACCATGACTGCTGCCAGCACTAGGTCAAAATCACCATAGCCTCTTTGGGCTTAGCCTCGTTAACCCCCAATGATGGAGGACCCCTGGCCCCATGCTGCGCTTTCTTATAGGGATACACCATCTCCTTGGGAAGAAAAATCATCTGAATGTCCAGCCTAAGCATCCCAGGCTGCACTATAGGGCCATTGCCCCTTGTGACATGCCCCACCAGTGGAGGCTCTGTTGCTTTTGTACCTGCCCTCCAAGTAGTTCTTGGCCACCATTAATATAGCCCTTAGCCTCCTCTCAGCCAGACTAAATGAGACCACTTCCCATCATCTCTCCTCTTAGTCCCTATGTCCCCGACTCAACAAGCATGTATGTATGATCCTTTATTACCAGCATTTCAGGAGAGGACAGAGCAGGCAGTAACAGTATCCCCTGGACCAGGTAAGCAGTGGTGATGTCTGTAACCCCATCACTTCTGTAGCAAGCAGAGACTCCCACTGAAGCCTCTGTCTTGGCAGAGCTGGCATGGCAGCCTTCCCAGATGATGAATTTTGGATGAAGAAATACAAATTGTTGTCCCTGACTTTGCAGGGTTAATCTCAGTGCAGATGCATGTGGTGCTGCCTGTGTCCTCAGCTCCAGCCGGGACGTGTACAGCAAAGGGCTGAGGAGGGAGCTACAGACCGGGAAAGATGTGTGGCCGTCACTCCATGGATACGTTGGGCAAAATCGTGAAGTGCCTGTGGAGCGAGGATCCGGCGTGCGCACGTGCGTGCCCACGGATCACACCAGCGAGATGCAGCAGATGAGCTGCCTTGCTCTATTTGTAACCTCCCACTGCTGTTGAACAGACTGTGCAGGGAGGAGAGGGAGCTGAAAATGAAGCTGAAAATTGAAACTTGAGGCTCAGATGCTTGGAGGGGCTTAGGAGCCCAATTCAACCCCTCACTCTCCGGGGAAGCAGGAGGTCCCGTGCCTCTCGGGCCCTGCATTTTGCTCTCAAGCTCAGCACAGCAACTTCCACACTCCACCTTGGAGCACAAAATTATTTGCATTAACTCATTGAGAAAAGGAGACAAAAGGACACAACTGAACTGCAAAGTACAGGATTACAGTGTGATATGAAGCAAGGAAAGAAAGAGGGAGGAGAAGGAAAAAATCCCTAGTCCTTATTTTTAAATTTGCATCCCTTCAACTAGCTGATGGAGTGCTGGGTGAGGACAGTAGGAATGTGATGGTGTGCCCCTGCAGGTAGGATCCAGCCTCTCTACCTGGGCATCACAGCAGGGAGGTTGCATTCAGGACCTTACTACCTAAAAGGCTGATGCCCTGTGTTGGATGGTCCTGGGAGGCTCCAGCCTGGCCCCCCGACGGGTGCAGAATGAGAGACCGGGGTGCAGGGAACCACTGAAACCTGTCCTGCAGGGAGGAGATGTGGCTGCGGAGCTAACAGAGGAGCTGACAAAAAATTCATAGGGCAGAGAGAGAGTCCAAGGACCTGTCTGTGCCAAGGGATGTGAGATCACTTAGATCCATCCACGGGCATGAATAAAAATCCCATGGTGATACTTAGTGAAAAAGCAGACTATAAAAGAGTAAAGCAAAGGCAGCGGATCAGTAAGGCAAGGCAAACGTGTTTGCAGCAGCTGCCTTGGGGCAGAGCCTTCATCCCCACAACCATGTCCTTGGCATTGCATCGACTGAACTGCACACCAGGCTGCAAGAGCAGAGTTTGCACGCGCCAGGCAGGGGAGGACCCAAAACACCCAGCAGCCCTCCTGTGATGGCTCTGCTCCCTCTGTGCAGTCACAGCCGGGGCCTAGGCACAGGTTTCCCTGCCTGGGTTCATCACTTGCTGCCCTGGGAGTTGTCTTCGGGGAGTGTAAGATGCTCCTGGGAAGGTGCCTGCTGATGGGGAGTCACGAGGGGAAGAATTAGGTCTCACCTCCAAGTTTTCCTGCCCCTTACATGCAGCAGCCTGGGCACAGCCCACCCCTCTGCTGATCCCACCCTTCATTGCAAAGGGCAGGATGGCAAGGTGACGAATGAGGCTCCAGCACCCCTTTGGTCCTCCTGGCTTCTTGCTGAAACTGCTAATTAAAAATCCAGTTTCATCAAGTGATTTTTCTGACGTGAAAACTTTTCCATAAGGAACTGGTCCCAAATCCACCAACTCATTTCACATTTATTTTAAATCTAAGCTTTATACCGTGTAATTTCCTGCAGGGCTTGATTATCTTCTCAGTAAAAGCACTGTTATTCTGGTTCATGAGACCTATATTTAATCTTGCACCTCTCAGTACAGGGTTTAGATGCTGCTACCTCAGCTCCTGGGCTTTCCTATTTATTTGAATTGTTAAACAAGTTACCACTTCTGTAATGTTGAGGGCGTTCTCCAGCCATGGGGTGCCTGCAAGCATTAACTTGTTGCTTCAGAAATGGTCTCCTGAATCTCGGAAGTCATTCAGAGAAGGTCTCTTGTCTAAATGGTGGCAGACAATACTTAAACAGGGAATCAAGGGCAAAGCCAGACAAGGAGCCTTGTCTATCTCTATTAGTGAGGTGGAACCTCAAGTCCTTCTTCGCCGTGTTTCCTACACATGTAATAAAGTATATACCCACTCAGCATATTTTTACAACGAAACACACAAAACAGGCAAAAGTGGGAAGGGGAAACATTTTCCTGACTGTGTAGACTGCCCTCAGCACTCAGTCAGAGGATCTGAGCAGCCCAGTTCACCTCAACGATGCATATATTTTGCAATGCAGAAAGCTGTTGTTTGCATGGCAGTGTTTTCAATCAGGTTTTCCCCGGATGCACATACCACCCCTGTTTCAAACTTGTCCCCATTTCCCGGTGACCATCAGCCTCATTTGTCACACCCCTTATCCAGCACCTCAGTCCCTGCAATGTGGCACCCATACAAAGCTCTGGGATGTCCTGGAGTGGGGAGGAGAGGTGCTGAATATGGACATTTATAACATGAAACCTCTGCACTAAGTGGATTATCAGCCACCTTGAATTCATTTGAAGCCTCCCGTGTCATGCTTGGCTGATGCTATGGTGGCACAGTTTCTGTTCTGTTGTGAGATGCAGTAGCCATGAAGAATTTGGGGTGTTACTATGGTCTTGAAGTGCAACATTAAGGGAAGTTGCCGCCCATGCTGGGGCTGCCTCCTCCCATGCCAGCATCACTTGGTGGCCCTTTGTGCATGTTGTTGTGTCTGTGGCAGGAGCTTGGTGTGAATTTTTCGCCGGTCTCGTGATACACTCTTTGTTGGTCAAAAAATGGTAGTTTCTGGTTGAGCAAAATCCATGTGTACTCGCCCCTTGTTGATGTTGTTATTTTTCAATTAAAAGTTGGGGCGGAGGTAGAGGTGCTCTGAGCAGAACTGGCAGGGCTGTACATGGAGAGTTTCTCTTGTCAATACAATGGTGCTGCTTCAGCGAGAAGGTTCCCTGCTGTCACACAGCTCTCCAGGCTGTTTTATCTACTTTCACAGCAAAAATGAAACAATCATTGTTTGAAATGCCACCTCCAAAAGCAGGGGCTGAACTGGTTTTGAATCCACAAGAAACAATCTTTGCATCAGATGACCTGGGGCCCGTCACCGCTCACGGTGCAAGAGCTTAGGACAGACTTTGTCACTGTGATGGCACACATTTCTCAGTTTTGCACCCATGCCCTCTAGAGATGCATTGTTCACTCTCTAGGCAAGCACCATTGTTAGAGAAGGCAAAACTGTATCGCTACTTTTATGACCAGCACTGTTTTTTACCTTTGCAGTGGTATATCATGTCTGGCAATATCTGGCTGCTTCAACTGTTACATTTTTCATGATGATTTGGAGATTTTGCTCTTCATTTTTCTTCTTCACACTACTCCTTTATAGTTCTTTCAAATAGAGGCTCTCCTGACTCAGGCTATGCATGTCACAACATGTAATTGATACGGTCTTTATCTATGAAGGGAACTCAGAGGTGCACAGACATACCTGATGCACTGGCATAACTGTAACAGTTATTTAGTACACAGCAGGGTGTAAGGAGGTTATGGAAAGAGAATGGACGAGAGGGATTAAAATCAGAGTGACTGTCAGAGAAATCCAGTCCCGGGGGAGAGTCTGACGACTGGAGGGGTCTCTCACCGGTAGGCTGGAGACTGGGGGCTGTAGTGCCCAGGAGCTGCAGATGCACCCTCGCACGGGGAGTATTGCCCCTGCCAGTGCCAGTCTGCACCCATGTGTCATCTTTCTGGTGATGCATCACAGTGCCTGGCCAACACTGTCCTTCGGGGGGACAAGAAGTGTTGCCTTGCTGATCATCAGCTTTCTGCTGGTGTCTGCATCTGCCTGTCTCCCGAGAGGAGTCCTCTGGCCCTGGGCAGGGTGGGCAGCGATGTCAGAGCAATTGGTCTTCAGAGGCAGGCTCCCCTCTATCTCCTCCATCCTGAGTGGTGTGAAAACCTCCCAAAGCTAGAGCTGCTGATAAAGGTACTGGATGCAGATGTCTGTATCTAAGAGAGAGAGTGTGGGAGAGGCACCATAACCCAGGGTTTTATAGGCACACCTTCAGAATGATCAACGTGCAAAATTTGGGTACTAAGGCATGGACTGAAACATCTGATTGAAAG